TTACACGTATTCACACATTCATACAATTAAAGAGTGATATTATTGTTGACAGGATAAAAATTTTAATTAAAACCTTATTGGCGGATATTATTCATCTAGAACTACGACCTTTGGATGTCGAAGAATTAAATCCACTGTATTCGGGTATAAAATATATATCCATACCCGACCGCCTTATTGCTTATTCGTTTTGATTGGCGGATAATATTTATCAAGGATAGATTCGTTTTGATTGACGTGAAACGGGTTATCTCGGGCGAGATTAATGCCTTAATGGGCGTTTGTTTGGTTTGGGTTGGCGGGTCGGAACTCGGAATCCAATAAAATAAAATCAAGATTTTTCAAGAATAGAGACTAAAGGTTGAATGATCCTGGTCTAGGTACTAGCTAGGTAGCGGCCGCCGGCCGGCAGCGACAGACCAGAGAGACGAACCTTTAACTTTAAAGTTTAAACTACATAGTACATATGCTCGGTGCTCCCATTACTGCATCACATACGTAATGCCTTACGATTGTCGATTCCGTGATTGCTGAATGAATCCGTTTTTGTCTCTAAAAAGTTTGGTCTACGTCTAACCAACTATATTGGTAAGTAGTAAGGCAGTTTCTTCTAATATTTAAATACAATTCACACCAAAACTAACAAAGAAAAAGAGCACCAGTTCTCATGTTCTTAGTTTCTTCTTCTTATTCTTCCATCGTCATCCACACATCATATATTATAAGTTTATAATAATATTCAAACTCTAGAAGCAAGAAAAGCATGGCTACTGGCTAACATACAACCAAATCAAGTATTACTTACTTGTGATGACTTGTACTAATATTATAATAAATTAAACAAAAATTTTTAATGAATTATTATAATTAGATAATTGAAGATGCTTATTCTCTCTCTCTCTTTACATCATACGTACGGAACTGATTCTTCCTTCCCAACTGTAGATTGTTCTTTTGTCAATACTAATGTCACAAATGAATTCTTCTGTGCCAATCCAACGGGTTATACATCATATCATGCTTGCATCTTTACCTCATCCATTATCTGCGCTAATTAATAATTAATGAACATCTACATAAAATAACACCTTGAAATTAATGGAATTAAGCTATAGGAGCTGCTACATATTCCCCCACCCTTTTTTGCTTACTGAACTCCTCCATATATTTATGGTATATTTTAATTAACTTAATTAGGCTCCGTTTGGGAATAATATGCAAGGTCATACACATAGCCTTTGTTTGTATTCGTACTATATATACCCAAAAGGAACCTTAATATAATTGAAAAGGAATAGTGGTAATAAGTCAAAGAGTTAGCCTAGGCTATAAGAATAGTGACGTCACTTCTTAGCGTTACATGGCTACACATATTATAATTTAAAAGAATAAAATATCGTATCAAGAAACCCTTACTGTTGAGCAAGTTATATGTATATATTATATGGTCCTATGTGTCTACTCGTTTTGCTTCCCATTAAGAGGTTGACCCAAACACATCCACGTTTCCATTTTGTGTACCCTATCTTTAGCCGACTTTCATCATGTTGATGAACACTAATTAGTAGGGGTGCAAACGGACTGGATTGGATTAGATTTGAATCTGATTTGATAGCATATATTTGAGCTTTAATCTGATATAAAGCTTCGATCAAATCTCATAAATGGTGATTCGAATAAGAATTCATTAAGAATGTCAGATATCTGAATCTGATCAGATCATATTCGATTCAAATTATGAAAATTTAATAAATTATTAAAAGAAAAAAACATACAAGTTTATAGAAAAAAAAAACAAAAAAATACAGGTATTTGTTTCAACTATTTTCATCATATATAAATATATTTATTATAAATATTTTTTTACAAGTAAATATTGTTATATGTATATATGTATGTATGTATGTATGTATGTATGTATGTATGTATGTGGGATTGGATTGGATAATGAGGTGATCCAAATCCGATCCAAAAACTCGACAGAGGGTTATCTGAATCTGACAAAATATAGGATCAGATTTGGATCTTGATCCAATCCATTTGCAACCCTCATAGCTATCTGATTTCTTCTCAGTTTTTTCAGGTATTTAGCCTTTTTTGGGTATTATGGTAAAAAAACAATAGAAGAAAAAGAAAAAAAAAACCTCACATGAAATTTAAAAATTGGAAATTAAAATTAACTTTAACCTAGAGTCGCAAATAGTATTCGATTGTCCAAATTTAAATTCAATTTTGATTTGGTTAGAAACAATTAATGTGGATTTGATCATTATTTAAATGTTATATGTTCATTTTCATTGAAGAGTGGAGGTTGTCTTTCTCAATTTATTCATGTTATATGAAGTTAAGGTCACTTTTAGTTCATTATATTAAAAATATAATATGCTCATTTTTTGAATTTAATTTATTCTTTATGTTCAATGTTCAAATAAAATCCAAATTCGACCTGGATCCAATGTAAATTCAATGGATAAAATCAGATTTTAATCCAACATTAAAGAAATAATTCAAATTTATTATCAAAGAATATCTCATTAGATCAATAGATCCAATCTGTTTGCAGCCTTGACTTAGCTGTTATCTGCCCAAGTGGTATAGGTTTTATTTAACTACCATACGTGTTCTAATTTATAATGATAAACCACTATTTAATTATATAGTTGCTTGATTTTAATATATAAGAAAAATATAAATTAACCCTCATCCTCTTTCCTGAAAATCTTGTATTTTGTATCATTATTATTATTAATATTTATACTCATTTCAAATTTAGTCTAAAGAATAATCTGAAACCGTTACAGTAAGAAGGTGTGACATTTTGTTCCCACAGATCACCTAAAAATTCATCAACTCCACAACAACCATATTGTTAATTTATTAGTTTGTAAGAGTATGATAGGAAGCGTTCAACCTGAGACTTGGAGCAGATGGAATGTCAATAGCAGAAGTAGCATTAGAGAGCTATGGATATCTCCTCGGGCCCACCCCTCCCTTGGCCGAGGATAAGGTGGGGACGGAGGTATATTGTTGGGTCATGCCTAATTGCACCTGAATTAATCCCTTAAGGCTGTGTTTGGTTGCAGTGCAAAAGAATTTGCACTACTGATGCAAAATTATGGTAGTTGTAAATGATTTAAGTGCAAGTTTTGATTTACTTTTGTTTCAAATTTTACCTTACTTTATTTGATTGTTTGAAAAATGAAGCAAAATAAGATCTAAAGCAGAATAAAATAAAATTCAAAACAAAATTAAACCAAAATTAATTTACATTTTTTTTTCATTTACACTCCCATACATTTGTGCTAGTGTAAATAAAATTGCACTGCAATCAAATACGGCCTAAGATTCAGTTTGGAAGGAGTACAAATACAAATATATAGTGTGAAAAACCTTATATTTTGTATTGTATACATTTGTATTTATACTCTTTTAAAACTGAGCCTAATAAATAAATACAAATACATATAAAATAATATAAAATACAAGGATTTGCACTTTAGATATTTGTATCTATACTCCTTCTAAACAGACAACACCAAGGTGGCAGTGGGAGTGAGTTTGGAAGGGTATCAGCCTTTGTCTTTTGCTTGAGTTGTGTTGACCCAATGGAGAAAGCTACAAAAATTACATTGACTGGAAAGTTTGATTTATTAATTCAATTTAGAGCTTGTCTGGGAGGGATTTTGTATTGATCGAACCCCTTAAGAGAAGTTACCTGAGTTAGCTTCATAGAAAAGTCAATTTTACAGTTAATCTAAACTGATTTTCAACTTTTTTGATTTTCATCAAACATGGTTTCATGGTGTAATGCTGTAAGCCGCACAAAACCTTCCCAAGCGGGCACGAAGGCAAACTCTGGCTTTTTGGATTTTTCATCAATATAATTTCTTGTTTTTTTTTTCTCGGGGGTGGAGACGACCTAGCAAATTAAAGCCAGAAAACCACTGCATGAGAACACTCCCAAATGGACACTTAATTGATTATACAAGGGGTTTGGGCTTATAAAGTTATAATTATATTTTTTAGAAGGCCGTTTGGACAATGTTTTTGAACCTTCATTGACTCAGATGGTTGGTCTGTTTGGATCAGAAACTGTCCAAGCAACTGGTTCCATCTTACCCCAATCCTGATCTCCGACTAAAAGCCGTTAAGTTAATTAGTGAATCATTGATTCAGGCGACCAAATCATTATTATTATTTTTTAAATCAAACCATGAATTCGTTCAACAGTTTTTGATAATTTTTTTTTTTATTACAATGGACTGTTTATTTGAACTGGACAATCGAATCATCGAGTAAAAAACTAATGGCCATAATAGTTCCGATTTGAGGTCGGTTTTTTAAACATTGCGTTTGAGCTTATAAATAAAACACATAATATTCACAATTCACATATAGCATAGGATGGTGGTCATGTTATAATATAAAATATCAGTCGTTATCATGTAAAATGTACAAACATACTCCGCTGTGGAACATATGATGCACGTCTCATTTCATTATTTTCTTTCTTAAGCAATCTAATCCTTGTTAATTTTCTTTTCTTTTTGGCTAATTAGTTTTGGTCGACCTTCTTTGCTTTCATATTTAGAACTGAATTGATGTTCTAGAATTCTAAAAGTCTGAACCTTCGCAGAAATCCTCAGACCTTAGTCCGTTGCGTTTGGATAACGTGGCTGATCATGATTCATGATGACTCATGAGTTAAGCCGTCACGCTGACGTGGTGACTTCGACTATGATACCGAAAAGGCATGCTAACCAATCAGGTGGTTGGTGGGGTCAAAGTTCATCCGGTATCATAGGCATCATTGAAATTGCAGAAATGCACAATACACACCTACTGGATTGACCAAAGGCTAATACGATGCACTTGTTCCTTGAAGCGCACGAAATAAGGAGTAGATTGGTCTTTGGCTTAAGGTAAGGTAGATAACGAACGCCTATCTATCTATCAAAGGACAAAACAAAAAAACCCACTAAAGTCTAAAGTCATAGGCACCAGTACTCTACAGCTTATTAATCGCCTATAAATAAATAGTAGACTCGATCCCCCCTCCCGTCGTTAAGTTGCATTGCTTGCTTCGTCGCATAAGTCGTAATAGCCATCCAGAAGCCAACGAATCTTTCATAGCAGACATGAAGAGGAGCAGAGTAGAAGGTGAGATTGATAGCATCACCATGGCCAATTGTTTGATGCTGCTCTCCCGTGGAGCGGAGAACGACTCCATGGCTTACTTTCCCAGTCGTGTCTTCGAGTGTAAGACCTGCAACCGCCAGTTCCCGTCGTTCCAAGCACTGGGAGGCCATCGAGCGAGTCACAAGAAACCCAGATTGATGATGACGGGAGAAGACACAGCAGATCATCAGGCACAGTTGCAGAGCTTACAGATGAAGCCCAAGACGCATGAGTGCTCCGTATGCGGCCTGGAGTTTGCCATCGGTCAGGCCTTGGGTGGGCACATGAGGAGGCATAGAGCCGGTTTGAGCGAAGGTTTATCGCTGCCTCCTCCACCGCCAGTGCCGGTTTTGAAGAGATCCAGCAGTAGCAGGAGGGTTTTGTGTTTGGATTTGAACTTGACTCCTTTGGAGAATGATCTGGACTTACAGCTCGGGAGAAAGATTCCTCCTGTGGTCGATTGTCTTATCTGATCCCACACCTTCTTCTAGCTAGCTATTTCCACCATTTCTCCTGCTCTCTCGTGTATTTAGAATTTTGGGGATTCTTTTTACCTTTTTATACATGTATAATCTATATGTAATTAATTAGGGTTAGGATATAGGACATTAATAGGGTTTTTAGACGCAGTTCTACATTTTGTAAAACCTGGGACGAGGTGATCAGTCCCTTCCGTGATCGTTCTAGGACATATACCACACCATTTATTCCATGAATAAATTCTATTTTATCTGTTTTGTTTCATTGCTCTTCCCATAGTTAGGCTTTGGTTCTTAGCTAATTTAAGGCTACATCAACTCAAGTATTGGGTTGCGGAGTCAGAATTCTATTTGGTGCTGTCCTTAAATTCTCTATTTATATTTGGGCAGGAGATTTGGGGGATCTCCATCTCCTCTATTTGTATTTGGAGATATTCCCAATGTATGGCTGTGGTGTCATGTGAATAGACTAGGATAGGATTCTCGTGGGTAGGAAATCTGAATTGCATCGGTTTTACCTCAAAGTCGATGGCTATACAGCTGGCTGTGTAACCATTGATAACGCCCCACGCGAGTCATAAATACTAAGTGAGAGAATGGGTGATTGAGCTTTATCATTGGCTCCACAGCCATTGCATTCAACTAATGAGATGGTGTTACATAATTCATATTTGATTTGTTTATAGTATTGATAAAAATTAGTAATTTCAAGATGATTGATAACAAAAGGAACTAAATTTGAATTTGAATAAAACGAAAACAGTTTGCTAAAAATAAGACATGAAATCCGGATTAAAACATCAAATCAGAAGTAAACACATAAGCTAACATTAGGGAGGGGGGACCTATGCGATGCACAGAAAAATATGAAAGATTGGATAAATTTATTTACTATTAATTAATTCATAAATTAATAATCAAAATTTGCTGTTAATTAACTAAAAGTATTCAAAGATATTGTTAATATTTAAAATTTTAGTAATTGTGTTTTTCATTTAATGTTGATTTATAGAAAATAATTATTATTAATTTAATATGAATGAGTATTTTTTAATAATTTTAATTTTATCAATCATTTGTAGTAATTTTAATAACGGTTATTATTTTCATTATTTTTAAATAAAATTTACATTGACTTTAAATAAATAAAAATAATTATAAAAGCTAACATTTTCTCTAATTTCACCAATAACTAACAATTATATAGGAATGGAAACAAGGTGGGTTCGGGCATCCCTATCCCCGCCCTGTAGTCAAGACACTCTACCCCATCCCCAGTGTGAGGCGAGTTTAGGGCAAGGCACCCACTCCTCATCAAGGATGGGGAATCTTCAAATTTTCCCACCTCGTCCCAAGTGTTGGGCAAGTTCAAGGCAAGACACCCACTCCCTATCAACCCAATGTCCAATTTGATGACAACAATGATCAAAAGGATATACTGAGTATCAACCACATGGTAAATTTCTAAAACTACACTAACTTGTCTTTAATTTTTAAAAATATAATTTTATGAAAATTTTGGAAAATTTATTACATTTGTGTAAATTTGAAAATTTATTCAAATTTATTTTTAAATTGTTATTAAATAATTTATTATCTTTCTAAATGGTTTACTTACTGAATTACACTAATTTTTCTTATATTTTTTTATATAAACTAATCAATAATTTCCTGTTTCCAATATTATACTAGTTTATCTTAACAAATTGTGTAATTATTGGTTCAAATTACAATTTTTCTTTCCCATACTCATTTGTCTTCGATAATTTTAGATAATTTACAATGAAAATTACATAATTTTTCAATAGCTTTCCCAAATCTAAATGTAATAAACTTTTCTAAAATTTCCAAAATATTCCAATAATTTTCAATAATTATTTAATACATTTTAAATGAACTCTCAAAAATTTTATATCTTTTAATTTGCAAAATTCTATTTTATGAAAGTGTAGTTTTATGATTTTTTGAAGAATTTATTACATTTATGTAATTATGGAGATTTATTGTTTTTTTAAATTGTTATTAAATATTTATTTTTATTAGGTAGTTTACTAACAAAATTACACTAATTTATCTTTTATTTTCTTCCCCTACTTTAAAAAGTTATGATGAGTTATATAATAACAATATTTATTATTTTTTGGTAATTTACTAACTATATTTATTAACTTTTGATAATAACACTATTTTATACTCATTGAATATGGGTTGGATTAAATATTAATTATATTTAACTATTCATTAATTGATATGAATATTTTAAATAAGAGAGAGTGGATATAGATTTAGGGGAGAGATGTTAAGAATTGATTGAATATTGGGGTAATATGATAAATTCTTAATGGCTTAGAGGAGATAACTTGGGAGATCTAGAGATTTTGGAAATATTTTTAGATAGTTCGATTGGGAATGATGACATGGCTTAATGGGAATAATGAGATGGGAAGAGGAGAGAATCAAGAAGAACGCAGGGTGAAAATAATAGAACAAGAAGAGGTATGATGACTTAGACCGTCTTACTATACATAGATAGATTGTAAATTAGTGATGATGGTGTAATAGCCTGGTTTCCCTGATTGTTTCTAGCATATCAGGAGTGAGAGTAGACACATTAATTGCATAAAAATGTGATGCATGGAGTACATGTGTAGCTATTCTTAACATCCACTGTATATATGGAACCAGTACTGTTTCCATACAGCAATATTGATGATCGAGACTTTTGATTTTAAAGGGATTTATTTAAGTCAAATTATACCACCTATCGTATAAGACTACTTGTCATTGAAGGTATTTTTGTGGGCACATGATCCCAAAGTCGTTATAAAATGGAGAAGCAGACAAGAAAGTCTCGTGGATGGAATTCAGGGAAGCGAGTGACGCTGGGTGTTATCTTGGAGTCTAGTTAGTTGAAAGTGCTCTTGTACGCCAACTGTATCTATTCATATTTGTGCTCTTACCAAATTAAGCCAGAAGCTCAGTACAAATATAAATATATTTGGAAGAGCTGGACGCCAGACTCCGGCCGGTTATAACTTATCATACTGACAACTGTAATTAGGGGTGTCAATGGATCGGTTTTGGGTTGAAATCTGTCCAAATCAAAATCTATTTGGATGGATTGGACGGACCAATATGACATATTGGATTAGATCTAGTCCGTCCATAATGAATTTATATTGGATTGAGCCAATATCTGGTTCATTGATAGAAGATAAGAACATAGGTTGTCAATGGACTAGGTTTGAATTGAAACCAATCTAAATTAATAGAAATTTGAACTGGATTGGACCAAATCCATTTGTAATGGACTGGACCGGATTGGACCAAATCCAGTCCAATTGACACCCCTAACTGTAATAGACATCAATTCATCTATCACTACACGAATGACCCTGTTTTTGGTGTAATCTCACATGTGGGGAGGGGAGCAACTTCATTAATTCTTGTGTAGCTCGATCTCATCAGTCATTACAAATAAAGTTAGCAAATTTGATACTAGGCTGCCCTTGGAAACGATGCAAATAAGTGTGAATGAAAATATGTAAAGTATAAGATGGTCCATATAAATTATAAAGTTGGGTTAGTTTTGCATTGACAAATTTATCTTCTAACCAAATAGACTTTTTCAGTTTGGAAGGAGTATAAATGCAAATTTGTAGAGTGCAAATACATACAAAATACAAGGTTTTACCCTCTACATATTTGCATTTGTACTCCTTTGAAATTGAGTCTTAGCTGGAATGAATGCAAACACGAATTCCAATAAAATATATGCCTTTTTTTTTATCAAAAGCCCACTTGAGTGCAAATTTACTTCATTTTTATTGATGTATTTTTACATCTTATTATCAATGTAAATATGCATTGAAAAATGTGTTTTCTGTCATTTGTCAATGCATAAATGCAAGATTCAAAGTATCGATACATATTGGCCTATATCGTGCCGATGACTTACCGATACGCCCCTCTAGTGGTTGTATTGGGTCAGCCACCAGTTCAGAGGGTAACCGTGCCTTAAACTGACCCCTCCGAACAAGTTTCAAAAAAAAAAACAAAACAAAAAAAAAAGTACCGACACAGGCTGATACGCCCTACCGGTATATTGGTTCATGTCGATATTTAGAATAATGTTGCCAAACACAGACAAAAATGAAACAAAATACAAATTTACCCTAAACCAGAATTTACATTCCATTTGCTTCGTTTCCAAACGCAGCCTAATTTACAGGAAAAAGTTAAATTATTAACTGATTAGATGGAAGGCCATTGAATAAAAAGTTGGGAAAGAATACAAATACAAATATATAGAGTACAAAAACTTGTATTGTACTGTACAAATACATCGGCGACGTTTTTTCGTTTTTTTTTTATTTTTTTTATTTTGAATGCCGACGACTGACGGGCTATTCTGGTAGCAGCTAGCAGCACTGTAATGGAATTCTGGTTTCTTTTTGATCGCTGATGGTGATGGTCATCAGAGTTTCTTCTAGAACAGCGATGATCACGGTTCCTGGAAGCTAGTGTCCAGACTTTGGCTTTCTTGTGGTTGGACCTGATCAAAGTGCTCCAGGCCAGGCTTGTCGACAATTTCTGGCAGGGTGGCACCTAATTTCAACTTTCAAGTTGGTGTGGAAGTGGATTGAAGTTTCTAGCGCTTTGTCAGATTTTGAATGGGTCAAAACATAAGCCCAGCTTGGCGTAAATTGTTTCGGGCCCAAAAATTCAAGAGGGAAGGAAAATGGATTTGAAACCTTAAAAGTTAAAATGGACCGAAACCGGATTTCACTCGCTGGTTGATCATAGAAATCTAGGAACCTGGGCTATTTCTAGATCTGTGTCCGGTTTTCTAGGTCCCGTGGAATGCCATGCTTCCCCACTTTATTACCTCATCATCCGTGAAGTATGTAAACACATGGACTATTATGGGCCACAAAGGCACAAACTACTTTGCCAAGTGGAAGACTTAATACTAGGCCAATCATAGTACAATACGTTCGCAAGAGTCGTAGAGAGGTCAAATTACCCAACTCGTCAAGGCTTCAGCTTCAATGTAGCGGTGGTATCGGGTGGATTTTGATTGACCAAAACTCTTTCGATACCATATCTTTTTCGCATGATAGATTTTTTTTTTTATAATATACAAATAATAATTAATTTTAGTTAGGGTTGTTCATCAAATTGATAAAACCAACCAACCTGACCAACTTGAATTTTATTTTTTTAATAATGTCATTATAATTTTTAAATTTAAATTTAATTTTT